TTTTTTTTTTTTTTTTTTTTTTTTTTTTTTTTTAATCAGGTGGACCATTAACCATGATGGGTTCTGCCATGATGGGAGGGGTTGTGCTCACTCTCATCGAGGGTTTTACTTTTGTACTAAACAGAAACACAGCACAGCAGTTTCAAAACCGTGAGTTTTGTAAACTTGAAAACTTTTTTGTGACATCATTTGTTATATTATTTATGTTGATTTATTTATTATTATATTTATTATAAGCTAAATAAAAAAGTGCAGAATCATGGTACATATTTACAAATGTTACCACAAAGGGTTTTTACAGTGTGAACACCCAAAATAGAAATCAGAGCTGTGATTTTTCCCCCCCTTTAACTTACTGTGTCTTAATTAAGAGAAACTGGATATTTACAACACCCAAACCTTTACTAAAGAATAGATCTGAACTCTATTGTTCAGTCTTGAGTATCTAAGAAAAGCCTGAGAATTTATTGTTGTTCGGTCTTGTTTTCTGCAGCTGTTCCTTTTGCAGACGATCCCAGTCAGCTTCCTCCGAAGGATGGAGATCCTCAGCAGCATCAGGGACCAAAGGGTCTGTTTCACTAGAGAGCATTAAGGACTCAGGTGGACACAGTGGGTCAGACCAGAGCATTCTGAGAAGGCTGACACTGCTGTCAGGAGGATCGGGGCTGGACATGATGTGTGTGTCGGTGACAAGTCGCTGCACGTTGTTCTTGTACCTCAGGGACAAATTTGCAAAGCATCACGGGAGAACACGAGAGTCCTGTTGAGCTGTTTCCTCGCACAAATGTGCAGAAAATGTGAGCTGGACCTTTTCCTCAGTTGTGTTTTATTTACATCACGTTAACAAGGGGAGATCTTCTGCTGGAGCTGTTCTCTCACAGCTTTTAGACCGATGTTTATATCTTCGTGGATCCACATCACGGACGAGCTTGGATCATTTGTTGCTACATTTGCGTTGTGTTTTCCCTGCTAATTTTTACGATATGTTATTAAGAGAGACCGGATCGTTTCTGGGAGGAAAGCTAAAGCAGACATTTACAGTATGTTCTCAATAAAACCCATAGTAGCATCTTTAGAGCATTTTAAAAGCACAGTTTATTTGTGGAAAGGCTGGAATCTGGGCTGAAGCTGTAAATCTGATGAGTTAACGTGTAAACATATGTTGTTTTACTTGTCCTGTATAAAGCATCAACATATTGTACTTATATTTTAAGAAATATGTTTAAGCTTTAATGTTTTTGTTCCTGAGCCACTAAAGATGTTCTTCCTGAACACCCAGGTTTAGTAAAGAGTAAAGTCTGTTTCAGTGGCTGTCAGGCAGAGAGGCAAAAAAAGAAGTCAGTGTTTGTTTTATTGTTTGTTTGACATTACATTCTGTTTGCTCAGCAGATTTTACTTTATAATGTGTTTTTTTGTTTAAATGTCAGCTGTGAAAGCCCAACTTTACTCCACTCTTCATCTGTAACTGTCGCACACACTCTTGAGTCTTTGACGAGTAAAAACATTACGTTTGCAACCATAGAAAAACATTTCTCAGAGCAAGTTTAACTCAGTCTTTACTGTAATTTGATGCAGAAATCATAAAATAAAGCTTTTTAACTCAGAAGTGATTTTTTTTTCTTATGAGGGACAAACTGTAAACATTAAAGATGTGATCCAGCAACAGTCCACTGATTTACAGCTGAACTCTGTAGAGGAACTGTTTGTTTGATCAAACGTCTTTATTATGCAGACGCTTATTAGAAATAATAAAGATTTAAGATGTTGTTTAAAACCAGAGTTGTTGCTTTGCTTTTTAATTTGTGATGTGATGGTTGTTATTACTCTGACTTTGTGTTGTGAAGTCAACAGGTTCAATCTCAAACGTCACATGAAACCTAAATGTTTTTATTCGGCCTTTCTGACTCAGGATCCTGCTGTTTGGTGACATTTTGCAGCTAGCTAACTTCAGCTCACCCGGTCCTGACCGTTTCTCCATTTCCCCCCAACAAACAGAATCCATGGATTTAAAGAAAATCCATCTCATACGACCACAGAATTTATGGCGAAAACGATTTTCTTCTTTTTGAAGTAAACCATGACTCAAGCTTTTCCTTGTTTCCTCTGAGAGTTTTGAGTCGTTTGTGGTTGGTGTGCACCGAGACCAGCCCTGTAAAATTCTGAGAAAATATTTTATTGATGATTTTTTTTCACCATCTTTAGATTCTGTTTGAAAACACCAGACTGTCTGCAGGACATCCTGGCTTTAGGCGACAATGAACACCCTCCTTGTTCCTTCTCAGTAAGACACATCCACGAGATGCAGCTGAAATGAAATGGTTAAACATTTAGAAGAACAGAGTTCACACCTGAATCCAGAGAGCCGTGTGGAAAATTATTAAACAATAAAAATAACTGGTGTGATTTCAAGCAAATAGGTGTTTTTTTTCCACAACTAACCAGTTTTAGTTGTTTTGTAGTGAAATGGCTAACCATAATTTAACATTTTATCATTTATGTTCCACCTAGTAAGTTGTAGATGAGATTGATAAAGGGATTTAAAATAAACCCCCAGTATTCTGTGAAGAAATGAAACAATTCAAGTCAGAATTTTGGATTAAAATCATCTCTGTGAGAATTGATGGGGTTTATAGCCAACTTGGCCAAACCTTGAAAAAAATGCATAAATGATGCAATTTTGCTAGAYGCATCACTCAGGTTGACTCTTAGCTAYTACCACATCAARTTTTAGATGAACAGAGTTGACTCAAGCAGCAAGTTTGAAAACTTGTATCACACGATCTGTTTGTGCTAAAGGTTAATCAGTTGTAGATGAGTACATCCAATGATCACTTCACTGAAATCTGTCCTGTGGTTTAGTTCAGTGTTTCCCAAAGTTGGGGTCGGGACCCAAAGTGGGGTCCCGAAACATCAAGTTGGGGTCCTGAAAAGATTTTCTGAATTAATTACATTTTTGCCTTAGTTGTTACAAATGAGTGAGGTTAGTGTATTTAAAATGGATAAATGTTGTATAAAAATATTGTTACTATGCCCATGTTTAGCTGACCTGATACAAATGTTTAACATTCAAAAACATTTGGGGGCACAGGTCTCTGCTGCTGTTATTTTGTGGGTCAAAAGCTGAAAAGTTTGGGAACCACTGCACTTTGGTTCCCAAAGTTGGGCTTGGGACCCAATTATGGGTCATGAAGCACCTTGGATAATCTCTAGAAATCAATTTGAAGGGTAATAAAAAATTGCTGATGTAACATTTTCCCTATAATTATTACAAAAACACAAAATAAGTAAAAATAAGTATTTATTTTATTTGTGTATATTGTACACAAATAAAATAAATGCAATCTAACGATCTAAACAGCTTATTAAGCTGTTTAGATCGTCAAAAAGCCTGTGTTTTTAGGGTTATTAACGAAGTTCGTGTACTCAGACCAGTAATATTTGGGGTCACAAGTTTTTGCCATGGATATTTTGTGGGTCAGAAGACAAAAAGTTTGGGAACCACTGGTTTAGTTAACATAATTTTAACCAGAGCTTCTACACATTCAGCTCATGCTCACAATTAGTTGGTGATCCTTTTTAATTACCACAAACCACCACAGAATAGGTCACCATTTGTAAAAGTGACCCACGTGTGTAGCTGTGGTGGCCATCTTGAGCCATGCTGAAATGACCATGTGCTATATGATTTATTACAATTTGTTCAGTGAATGAAGAGACGTTTTGGTAACAGACAGACAGGCTGACACAGGAAAATTAATTATCGTCTGCATTCACTTTCGAGGGCGATAAYTGTGCCTAAAGTTTTAATCATGTCTGGCTCAGGTTGATTCATTCAGGTTCATTAGTTGCTGTGGTCGCGCGCCCCCTGCCGGTGCTGCTGTTGTACTGCACCACGTTTCTCCTCGCTTCTGTCCAAGGTCCTGAAAATAAGTTTGAACTTACAGGTTCTTTCTTTCTTATTTTCTTTTGTGTTATCTTGCCTAAATGCCTCTCTGGTTTTAGTAATGCCATTATAATAACATTGTTGTCAGGGAGCCTCGCTGTTCCTCATGCTGACAGATTTCCTGTCATCCTTTTAACCGGCTCAGCTGCTCTAATCCTGCCGGCTGACCACCGCGGATCCTCGGCTGCGGTAACCCTCAGCTTCATGTTCCAGCGCAGATAAAACATATTTCAGATCTCATTTTCTCTCTGGAATAAGTTCTTATAAGGGGGGAGGAACTGGACCTGGGCTGCAGACAGAATGACCCGGAGTCCGGATCTCAGCGTGTGGACATCATGACGGGCTGCAGATTTTTATTTATGTTTTATTAAACCCAAAGTTTTTTTTAATTTTTTTTTATTGAGTTCATGTCTGTGATCCGCTCTCATCACAGAAACCCTGAGGAGTTGATGGTTCGGTTTTTCAGGTGACTTCTTCGTGTGAACCTGCAGAAATGGAGGCTGCAAAGAAAGGTGAGTCAGGAACTACAAAATGCTGACTCAGCTGAAATTAACACAACAGCTAAAGTTAAAGCAAACAAAACAGTAGCTAAAAACTAAAATGAAACAAGTTGTAACTAAAAATATAAGCTGCAAACCTAGCTGAAAGCTAACAACAGCAAAGCGTAGCTAAATATGCAGCAAAACTTGCTAAAAACTAAAATGATAAAAGTCATGGTTAAAAGCTCAAGTTACCAAAATTGTAGCGCTGCAATAAGCAAAACAGGCGAAAGATAAAAGTAGCAAAACAAGCAAAAATACAATGAGCAACCAGTAGCTAAAAGCTCATAGCAAAACGGTAGCTAAAAAGCTCAACAATAGGCCTAACTAAAAGATACATGTAAGAAAACAGTAGCTAAATGCTAAAACGAACAAGGCTATAGCTAAATACTCAAATGAACAAAAGTGTAGCCTAAAGCTACAATAAGCCAAACAGTACAAAAGTAGCAAAACTAGCTGAATATAAAAATGAGCAAACAGCTAAAAGCTCATATAAACAAAACTGTAGCTTAAAGCTACAATAAGCTAAAGATTAGGCCTAGCTAAAGAATGCATGTAGGGAAACAGTAGCTAAATGCTAAAATTAACAAGGCTATAGCTAAAAACTCAAAAAAAAAAAAAAAACGCCGCTTAAGCTAAAATAAGCAAAATAGTAGTTAAAAGATAAAAATTAAAAAGCTGTAGCTGTAAGCAAAGTTAGCAAAATAGAAGCTAAAGTTAGCAAATTGCATTGCTTAAAGCTAAAGCTGATGCTAAGGTAAGCGCTAAACTGATCTAAACCTTAGCTAAAACCTAAAAGTAGCATCAAAAGACAAAAATAATGAAAGAATCCTGAAGCAGATGTCAAAGAGAACATTGTTTAAAAATGAATTGCGGAGATTTATTTTTTGGGGGGGATTTTCTTGTAAATAAAGTCACATTATTATTTGTCAAGTCGATCATTTGATAAATGGGTGAAACTGCAGGTTTGCTGAAGTTGTGTGACTTTATCAACAATCACACAAATAAGCTCACAGAAGAAGACGGACATTTCTATACCTTACATCATACCTATTAGTGTTTGGAGGCCTGCATTGAATAAAAAATGGACATCTGCCAGTTTTTTTCTACCTCAGTCTTATATTTAAGATGATAAAAGAGCCTGCAGTGTGTGTTTAAACACGAAGCCCTCTTAACAGGTGTTCATTGGGGACGGTGCTGCTCAGAGCCCTGCTGCTGCCTATAAAGAAGTAGGTCACATCTGGTCTTATTATATGAGACCTGCAGGTCTACAATCCTGTCTGACTGTTAGATAATATCACATGGGCTGAGAGGAGTGATTTAGGAGTCAACTAAGGTGAGATAAGATGGGAACTTGGAGTTTTGTTGACAGTTTTAACAGTAAAAACCATTGATAAAGAGCTCCACCTTAATGTTTTTACAGTGAGTTGTAAAAATGTTCATCTCTGGTGATTTATCTCTTCTGTTTCCTTAACAAGAAATTTAAAGGAGGTTAAGGAAGTTTGTTTCTTTTTGATCTAAACAAGCTAACTACTGTTTTGACTATTCTTACTGTAAAAATAATGATGGAAAACATGAGTGCTCAAAACTTTTTACATTCATAAAACCTCCTAAAATAAGCAACATTAAAAAATAAGTTAAATGAAAACAAAATCTTCTGTAACCTCCTGGATTTTCTGTCCATTCTTTGGGACCAAACTGCTCGTGTTCATTTAACTGTCTGTGTTTAGAGTCCTGCTGGAGGAAGAACCTCCACCTCACAGTCTCAGATCTCTAAAAAAAAAAAACAGAATTTCCCTTGAGACCAGTTTTATGGTTCCTATCATAAAAGTGTCCCCATGATGCTGCCCCCACCGTGCTTCACTGTTCTCAGCATGGTGTCCCTCATGGACAGATGGCTTAATTTTAGGCTCATGACCACAGACCTCTGCTCTGCATGTTTGTTTGCTGAGTCTCCAATAAGACTTTTGATGAATCCCAAATGTTTTGCCTTAGTTTTCTGTTCATTTTTTCCCCTGTCCACCTTTCTATTTCACTCAGCTCTGAGCAGTACATAGTTTTTTAAGTCCATCTTTGCAGAATAGCTGCCCAGTTCCTTCAGGGTTTGAAATTTTCTCAGCAGTAAAAGAAAGGAAATCTATGTTTGGTAGATTATTTCTTTGTTGTAACAGTGCTTCTTGACAGTAAATCTTATACCCTTAGAAAGTCTGTTAAATTCCCTTTTAAATGCTGTCACATTTGTAAGGAACATGCGTTTGTGTGATGAGCAGTAGAGCTGAGTTTGTGGGTTGAGCACTTTAAAAATTTGCCAAATGTTCTCCGACAAACAGCTTATTTTGCGATGAGAGTGCCATAGAGTCGGGACAAGTTTAGGAATACTTTTACAACATTTGACCATCTTTTCTTCTGTACAGATGTCCCGCCTGTGGGGGATGCAGGCAAATCGGACACCCTCGGGTCGACTGGCTCGGCCAGGAAGAGGGGAGGGGGCGCCAAGAAGGCGATGCAGGCCAACAAGTCTGCCCTCAGGGCCCCCCGAGCTCTGTGCTGCCTCACTCTGAGCAACCCCATCCGCATGGCAGCCTTGGCCCTGGTGGAGTGGAAATATCCTTCTGTTTTTTTTAAACTTTTACTTGTTTATTTGTGTTTTCACACACGTCAAATATAAATGATGATGTTGGGATGAAGGCAGCCTGTTGAAACCTTAACTACAGTCTCTAAGCCTTTTGATATTTTCATCCTGCTTGCCATATTTGCCAACTGCGTGGCCATGGGCGTCACAAAGCCGTACCCGGATGACGACTCCAACGCAACCAATCACAAGCTCGTGAGTTTGTCTTAGAAAAGTGTGACACCGCGTGATTTAAAAAAATGCCATTTTAAAAAAGGAATTATAAAAATGTTTCCCTAAGTTCATTGGTAAAACCTAACTGTGCATGAATTGTTAAATGTTGATAATGCAGCTGCTGACTGGAAAATCATCAAACGCTTATAAAACCCAATTTACTTGCTAACTTACTTTTGTAATAATCAGTGGCAAAATTCTGATGAGTAGTAAACTGTACATGAAGTGTAAAAAGAACCAAGATCAGAAAGGGTCATCATAGTGTAGGGATTAGATTAATGAAATCAGGGCCAGCCTAATTTTCATAAATGTAACCCAGGATCTTGCAAGAAATGAAATCAGAACAATGAAACACCCCTCTGGTCATGAATGTGAAAAGAACTTGTGACCTGAACAGATTTCTCAAAAATAAAGTAATTTATTTTTAGATATATGAACAGGATAAACATACAAATATTAATAAAAACTATTATATGCATAAAACACAAGTTATAATAACGGCACAAAAATTTTCACTCAGAGTTGACATAAACAGTAAGTTTCATGTGTTGCAACCTACTGGCACCTACTTGACTAAGTTTTAAGTAAATAAGAGAAAAAGATAAAAGATTTAGGTTTTAAGAATAGGAGGAAGGAAAGAGATTAGTAACTTTTGCAC